ATTCTTCCAACGGGAATAACTAATTTCCCGCAGTGCAAAGGTATAAAAACCCGCTGGCAACCCCACGATCGGCCATTTGTATGTCATTCAACAGCGAAGTGCGGAACAGCCGGAAAAAAATGAAACATATATTTTCATTCAGCCGGTTAAAGTGAAGCAGTGAAAAAAATAAAACAATTTCAATTAAAATTAAAAGAAAAGTGTCTAAAAAGAACAGTTAAATCGCTCTAACGCGATAAAGTGGAAAAAAGGAAAATAAATTTAAAACAATAGAAAAACCAAAAAAACGAAAACAAATTTTTTTTTCTGCTAAAACGTGCAGTGCAGGAAGCGGGGAGTTTTGAGCAGCTAAGGCGCATCCCGTATCCGTGCACCATCGGGACAACGACACCTTTACCTCAACAGCGGCAAGCTGCGAGAACGAGCTCGCAGTTGCATTTTGCTCGCCCGCCAGAAGCGCCCAGAGGAACCAGCGTGCTCCACAATTTCGCGTCAGCGCGCCCAAGCCCGACCGACGCACTACTATTGTGCGCCGGAAGCTCCATCGCACTCCACGCTCCCTCCGCAGCCGCAGCACCACGGCAACACCAAGGAAACCAATCTGGCGCTCCAGCAGCACACACATCCATTTGTCCGCAACCGCAGGGTGGCAAATACAACGCACAGTCCTCTATCTGCTAACACTGGATTAGGTAAGCATGATTTTCTGTGAGATTCTAAGCAAATAGTTAGAAGAACAGCGGGTTACGAAGTCGGGGGGTTACCGAAATCGTGCGAAACGTTGCGCTGGAGTGTGTTTTTATTTTTTTTTTATCTTAAAATCGACCTGCTATAGAAGAATTTTTCTGGTTTTCTGGTTTTACGAAACGTGTAGTGAAAATGAGAGAAGTTCAATGTGCGTGAAAATTACATTTTTTCACTTTATCGATCCGTTCTATCATTTTAAGCGTTTCTCGATCATTAAATGCTATTCCGTTAACATCTAGCAAGTAAAAGTTTAGTAAATTATTGTGAGTTAAGACAATGATATTCTTTATCACCGGAAAGGATTTGAGAAAATCGCGCAAGTTTTCTTTTTCACAGGCACAAAACGTTGTGGAGAAAAGTTTTCACAGTGAAAAATTTGGTTGGGAAACGAATCTAGTTACCTTTTAAAATATAATCTTAATTTTATGTGAAGTAATGAAAAATGCCTTCACTTTACTAATTGGCCTCCATGTCGGACATCAAATTGTGTGTTATACGCTGTAACTCGCACCTTGCGATGCAGGTGGATAACTCTTTATGAATTTTGTTACTTTTGTATACATTAGGAATTATTCAAGATATAAATCCCGGTTAATTAATTTCCACTTTTGCAGGTACTGCCCCAGTCCGCACACCGCCCAGCACGGTATCCACGACGCCGCCACAGTAGCGGCTACTGTAACAGCGCACACGTAACACGCGCTATAGGAAGCAGCAAGAACCGCCACAGTAGCGAGTACAGCAGCGCGCTACAGCGACAAATAAAACGCGCAACAACGTGCGCAGGCAACAACATCCGCCACAGCAGCGGGTGCAACAACGCGCGGAAGCAACACCGCACCATCGACAACAACAACCGCCACAGCAGGGTGCAACAACGCGCGACTACAGCAGCGCGCTACAGCGACAACTAAAACGCGCAACAACGTGCGCAGGCAACAACATCCGCCACAGCAGCGGGTGCAACAACGCGCGGAAGCAACACCGCGCCATCGACAACAACAACCGCCACAGCAGGGTGCAACAACGCGCGACT